ATTAAAAAAGAAGAAGATAAATTTAATCATCCTCACATGGGCAAGCTGCTGGGAGGAATGAATTTAGGCAAATAAGGTACTCAGACTCAAGCTTCTGTTTCATTTTCTTGTCTTGCAACAAACAGTATTGCTTCTTTCTTCCTAGCAGGATTTCTGGGTCCTTGGCAGCCAGATTACAGGCAGAAAATCAATATGGGAAGCTTCAACTTTCATTTGCTGATAACTGTAGCTGGAGAGCTACATGCTTTTCCTTCTGCATCCTCCTGTGAACAGCTTTACAGAGATCAAAGTATTCCATTGTAAGTAATTGTATAGCATATCTACCCTTCATTCCAGGCAAATGCTAAACTGGCGTTTTGCTGAGCTTGGCTTCAATCCTACCTGTGTGCTCACTTTTAAATTGCCATTTAGAAGATTGTGCCACAAAAATCTTAAAAAATGAAAAGAAATGATGCAAAGTGAGGTTGGCCTGTTTTCCAACCCAGAGATCTTGCTCTTTATTTTAAAGCCAGAAATAGTAATAAAAGGGGGGCACTGCACCTTTATTCCTGTTCTGTGTGTCGTGCTCATTGATCACAATTTCTTTCTTCCTATTTGTTCTAACAAGTAAGATTTTACCAACAGTGAAGACAGGGATGGGGCAGGAGGTCTCCTTTTTAGTTATTTTAGATATTTCAAAACCCTGCTACCTGGGATCTCTACGTAGCTTGGCACCTGGCACCTCTTTTTCCAGGATCTAGTTAATATATTCTTGCAGATGCTTTATCCATCCAGTTTGGACCAAATTAACCCCTTAAACAAATGGCATATGTGTGTGTGTGTGTGTGTATTATGTCTTTGGTTATTCGGGTTTTCTCCCGCGTAAAATTGGAAGTTTTTTTACATGGGAGAAAACCCGAATAACCAAAGACCTACATACAAACACCCGCAAAAACCTCAGAAAACAAATATATATATGTATATATATGTATGTATATATACGGTATATATATAGATTTAAAGAGGTGGTTTTCTAGGCCGTATCACAATATAAACATGTCTAAAAATTCCTGATTTAGAGGTATCAGTGTTATAACAATGAAAACCTAGACAAGGAAGAACAGGGGGAAAAACGTTCTTTGCAATGCTGTAATCATTGATTCTGGGCTATTTTTATTATTTTGTGGTCAAGCTTCCAGCCACTTCCCTTCACCCACTACAGGTAGTCCTCGGCTTACAACAGTTCAATTAGTGACCATGCAAAGTTACAACTGAAAAAATGTGACTTATGACCATTTTTCACCCTTATGACTGTTGCAGTATCTCCGGGGTCACATGATTTACATTTTGATGCTTAAAAACTGGTTTGTATTTATGACGGTTGCAGAGTCCTGGCGTCATGGGATCTGCTTTTGCAAACTTCTGATAAGCAAAATTAATGAGGAAGCCGGATTCACTTAATAACCGGATTACTAACTTACCAGCTGCAGTGATTCACTTAACAACTGTAATTAAGAAAGGTCGTAAAGTGGGGCAAAATTCACTTTAAAAAATTCTCATTTAGCAACATAAATTCTGGGCCCAATTGTGGTCGTAAGTTGAGGACTGCCTGTACTTTTTAGACCAGTTCAGCTGGGGTGTTAGAAAAGGGCAAATATTCCTTTTGGCCCTCTTTTCTGTCCCCAAGGAGGGCTTCAGCAGAACCACTTCACCTCAGTCCCCTTGGAGCGCATCTGCTTGCCTTTTCTTCTAACTTTGCTACTGTTTCCTTTTCTGCCAAAGAGGCTTAGTAGCAAGAAACAAACCAAGATTTCTGTTTTCCAAGGCTTTTTGGATTCCTTCCTTGGACTGCTGTTCCCTAATTTACAAACAGTCAAATGGTCAGTCCTCACCCAGCCCCCCCCCCCACTTGCCATTTTGCCCAAGGACAGCTTTTTTGCAACTCAGTCCTATTCTTGATGATCTCAGGAAGGCTAAGATAAGCAAAATCTTAAGAGGACAAATCAGCACAATTAGCATTTATTCTGGGCTTTCATTTGATTTGTGTTTTACTCTTTAGTTTGAAACTTGATAAATTGCTAATTTACTAATCCATCCCCGCCCCTTGCTAAAATAATTTGAATTTGTTGTATTTATCTAGCTATTTTCTGTGTAATTTACTTGCATATTCTGTTTCTCTGTACTGTCCCTGTGTCAGGGAAAAAAAGCCCTCTTTTATTTTTTTTTATTGTGTGGGGTAACTGGGTTTATTTAATTCAACAGAATCCACTTTAGACCACTGTTTATTGCTTCCTTAGTCAATATGTATTAGGAGATGGTTCTGTGGAATTCTGAGCTATGGTCTTGAACATATCTGGTAACACTCAAGGCTCAGAAACATGTAAATATGCCAGTGTCATAAGATCCTAATGCCTGCAAATAATCAAAACAACCTAGAATAGTACCGAGGGTGTCTTAAATTGGATTAAGAAGAGTTGAGAGGTAGAAAGACTGATCATCTAACAGCATCTCCAGTGCCATGTCTAGCAGAGTCTTATGGGAAGTCAGTTAATGAAATCCATTTGACACATGGTAAGCCAGTCTTGGGTAGTTTTCATTTATTTCATTTATTAGATTTTAAAATCCTGCCTTTATTATTTTTATAAGTAACTCAACACAGAGAACTTACCTAATACTCCCTCTTCTTATTTTCCTTACCACAACAACACTGAGAAATGAGTTGGGTTGAGAGAGAGTGACTGGCCCAAAGTCACCCAGTGTCTTTCATATTGAAGACAGAACTAGAACTCACAGTCTCCTGGTTTCTAGACCAGCACCTTCACCACTATACCAAACTGGTTTTTTTTTTAATCAGGCTTCCAAGACTTTTTCCAACTCTATGATTTTCTGGTCATTAAAGTGCGTGTTCTGACTCTTGTTATTTTGTTCATCATCCACATTTTGCTTTTCTCCTGATCTCTGGCACACACTTGTCTTAGTCCACCTACCAATAGTGTGCTGTGGCACGTCCGTGCACTTCGGCTTGGGGCATGCCTTATGGGGCTTCCCTCGTTCAGCCACGGGGCAGAATCCGGGCTGATTCTCGACAGCTCAGCTGAGCATTTGGGTAGGTTGTACGTACTTTATTAGTATTCATTAAATAGTTTGCTAAGCTAATTATCCACCATGATCACTGGGAAGTTTCATTTGCTGGCAAACCTGGAAAAAGGTTATACGGCTAGTTCTTGACTTACAGCGGTTTGTTTAGTGATCATTCGAAGTTACAACAGCACTGGAGATAGTGACTTATGACCATTTTTCGCACTTGCGACCATTCTGATCACGGTCACGTGATCAAAATTCAAACGCTTGGCAACTGACTCATACTTCTGATGGTTGCAGTGTTCTGGAGTCATGTGATCCCTTTTGCAACCTTCTGACAAGCAAAGTCAATAGAGAAGCCAGATTCACTTAACTTAAGTTAGTGTTACTAACTTAACCTCTGCAGTGATTCTCTTAACAACTGTGGCAAGAAAGGAATGGAAATCTGGGTCTCAATTGTGGCTCAATATAGGACTACCTATATTCCATTCAAACATGGATTCTGCTTATTCTTGGTTTCTGTATCTCAATGGCAACTTTCCAATCCTTCTGTCCCCTTGCATGTGTGTGTGTATATATATATATATATATATATATATATATATATATATATATATATATATATATATATATATATATATATATATATATATATATATATATATATATATATATATATATATTTGTTTTCTGAGGTTTTCGCGGGTATTTGTATATATATATATATATATTAACTTGCCCATCTTTGATTCCCCAACCTTATTCTTCAACATGTCATAAAATATTTTCCTAGCTTCCCTGTAATATAAGTTGATCTCATTAATCCCAAAACGAAGGAGATATCTTGCTTTCAACACCTACTGAGGGAAAATACATTGTTCTGCCTTTGTTCAAACACTCCCTTGTTTTGAACCTGGAGAGTTGCTGTCCTTGTGTGACTTTTTCAAATATAAACCAGACATCCCTGATACTTTAGTTGAGAACATATTTCCAAATGGATAACTGCTTTATTCATTTTTCTTTCTCCTTATGTGATGGCAACAGTTGTCACAGTTTAAGGTTGTGTAGTGTAAAGAAGTTATTCATTAGATCTGGCATGAATTGCTCATCACTCAGCTTCACTGGAGAAGTTGTGATGTTATGAGAAAAAAATAGTTCCTCATTTTTCATTTTCTCCACACCATTTATAATTTGATCTAGTTCTACCATATCTGTGCATAATTCTTCTCTGATGAAAAAGATCTAGATGTTGTCACTTTCCTTGCTCCGGAGACAAATTCCTTGTGTGCCCAATCATACCTGGACAATATTTCTATTCTATTCTATTCTATTCTATTCTATTCTATTCTATTCTATTCTATTCTATTCTATTCTATTCTATTCTCAATTCCAATTCTAATTCTATTCTCATAAAGGGGCAAGAAATCCTGACACTGGAGCCTCATGACATAAAGTTGTATTATAACCTTGAGTGATTGCACGACCTGCTCCCCACACGTTTTCTTTCAAGGAAATGTGGCCTTGGTTATCCCTTGCTATAAGTATTTTTTTTTCCACATTAACACCTGGCAAGAGTAGCATCTTGTCAACAACTTTGTCCTATCACTAGTTGATTAGATTAGCTGAATGTGTTAACTTGTTTGCTGTTCCTTAATTTTGCCCTTCAGAAGCAGCTGGTGAGATGGACAGCATGGTGGTCATCCCAATCAAAGCATTGCCAATTGTCCAGCATTAGTGTAACTGGACAAGTTTAATAGCCCTATTATCTCTCCTGCTAAAAGGGTCACAACAACTCAAGGCAGAGATTCAGTGAAGCAAACACAGGTTACTGGTGAAATGAGATGGAAACAACAAGCTGTTGTTACTATTTCCCCCCCTCATCTTTAAGACTTAATGTGCTTAAATCAGCAAAAATAAATAAATAAATAAATAAATCACCATGTTGATCTAGTAAAATCTTGTCTCTCTGGATTATAAATATGGCAAGGAGATGAGACGGGAGTTACATATTCCCCTTAACTCTGAGCATCCTTGCACTGTCATCTTGGTTTGGTAAGTCTGCTCTATTTTGCCCTCAAAAGTTTGGAATTCAAATAGGCATGCAATGTATTTCCATGAATGCATGGAGTTCAGAGAGATTCTGTGGCTTTCAATATGGAACTGAGCTGAGAATTTTTGAAGTTTGTGAGCATATTCAGAGTTCTTGGGATCTGGAAAAAATAGGTACTTTCCAGTGATGCTAGGATAGGAAATGGAGGAAGGGAAAGAAATTGATCTTTTAATGATAGGGCTTATAGAACTAATCATAGCACACTGAGGGAAGAATGAGTTTTATAAATTGATTTGCTTTGTACTTGCTGTTAGTTCTGCATTATCCAAGCAGGAACTCTTACAGAACTCCAGCAAAATGAACTTTGGTTTCTGTATATTCCTCACTTCTTAGACTCTCAACCAATCCATAATCCAAATCCTTGGTTTAAATCTCACCTTTGCCATTCATTTACGCATTAGTGCTTTATTTGTAACAAAATTAGAACATTTATAACTGGAAGTGTTGTTTCTTTCTTGCCTTCCACTCCCCATTTTCTCTCAGCCTTCAGATCAAATCTTTATTGGGGTCATAGAACCAGCAATGGAGGGTGGGATGTAGACCTTAAAGAGCATAGAGGAGCAGCCTTAATTCTTAATGTTAAATTTTAGTTTGAATCAAATTCCATTTCTCCCCCTCAGCTTTTATTAAAAGTAGCCAATGTGAACCTGTTATGACTGTGTTCTGCTGTTGGGTGGCTGAGCACTTCTACACAGGCTTTGGCACTGCTCCTGGACTATCCCAGTGTTGCTTAGATTGGATAGCTGAGCTGATGTGCATGAATTAGGAGTTTTCCCATTTACTTTTTAGAGTGGTAGAACTGGAATGGTGTGGAGAATTCATGCCTTGTCCCACCTCCCACTTCCTATCTCTTTACTTCTCTCACTTCCTCACAGTAAGTGAGCAAATGCTATCACTAGTGCCTTTCAACAGACTTAAATAGATAAACCCACTCTTATCAGCCCTCCTTTGTTGAATATGTTTTGTTTTATTCAAAAGGATTAACAAGGATCTTTGGTGAGAAGTAGTGGGTGGGGTCTACTTTAATGGCTGTTTTTCCCACAGTATTAATAATCACCCAGATGGTGTTCTTTGCAACAGAAAGTTACTAGCTTTGAGACCTGACAGGTAAGGCATTTTCCAGGATTTTCATTTTTTCTCTCTCTCTGAAAATATTGGCAGTGTTGAAGTGTTTTCAGAGTTTTTTTATGATGTGGGACAGCTTACTTAATTCGATACATGTGGTATGAGTGATTTACTGTATAATATGTTAGTAAATGACTAGTTAATTTATCCACTAGGAACTTTGTGGAATTTGTAGTCTTATTTTATGTGGAATGAGGTCTAGGATTCTACCTCATTCTCAATATTGCGCCTATATTTTTATACCTATCTTCAAAATTGCTATGGTTTAAAAAAGTTTGATGTTATTTCTCTCTATTAACGTTCCTATTTCATCCCGGTCCTTGGGAAGAAACTTGGATTAGGGTTACCACATCTAGACTGCAAAAAAGAGATAGAAAACTTTTTAACTTTTTTGTGCCATCAACTGGTTGGCCAGATTTTTGCAGCCCAGATTTGGCAACTATCAATCCTTTTGATTTTTAACTTTTTTTTTCTACCTGGCTTCTTTTACTGATGTATTGCACTTTTTAATATATGGTTTTACGTTTTTCTGCTTTTAACTGTACACTGTTCAGAGTCACTCTGGGAATTAGATGGGCAGTATCTAAATTTGATAAACAAATAAATAAATGAGTGAAGAGCACTTCGCTCAGTATGCTTATAACCTAGTTCTCTTTAAAAAAAAAAACTTTATGATGCATAGCAAAAAGTCCCTGTGCTATCTGAAAGTCAACACTTTTCATTTTCTCCCACAAGAAGAGCCTTGTGAGGTAGGTAGGACTGAGAGGGTGTGACTGGCCCAAGGTCACCTAGCCAGCTTTCATGCCTAAGGCAGGACTAGCACTGTCCTGTCTATATAGATTCTCAATCATCCAGGTCATGGTTGTCCGAAGGTGCTTTTCAAAAGGCAACTGGACTTTTTTGGGGAGTTTTTGTCCTTGAAAATGTTTCACTTCTCAGCTAAAAAGCTGAAGAATTGAACTGAAGCTTCTTGGTGAAGTGAATTGTTTTCAAGGAAAATAAACCAAGAAAGTCCAGTTATCCCAATTATCTCCTGTTATCCCAATTGTCTAACCTTAACCACTAGAAAAAACTGACTATCTCACCCATGTTTTATCTTCATAAAATCAGATAGTTGGAAGGGGCTACTTAGACTATCAAGACCAACATCCATGCTCAGTCCATGACAGAGGACTATCCAGTCACTACTTAAATATATTCAGCTCACTATCTCCCTGCGGAATTAATCCCTTCCACCATCCAATATCTCTTACCTTGGAATTCTCCCACAATTCCAACACAGGCTGTTTTTCTACATCTTAATGCAAGTTTGTAAAATATTTCATGCACTTCTTTAAGATCATGTCATTGAATTTAAACTATGAAATAAATATGTCATAGCCAATAGCATTTTACCACTAAAGCTTGCCCACATCATATAAGGGAGGGCATAGCAAGTAACTCTTCAGTAGAGAAAACCCACAACCATTCAAGCAACATGCAAGAGGGCAAGTTCATTGGGCTGTGAATGGGAAGTAAAAGGGGAAAGGGAAAGAAATTGTACCCCTTTGTAGTTGCTAGGATGTTGTTCCTTATGCACCAGTCTACCCTATAACATGAAGTGGCTGGGCAATTGTCCAGAGACAGCTGCAGCATGGAAAAATAGGGAAGGTGGCAATCAATGTTATCCTTTTTTATTCTAAAGCTATGTTTTTGTTGGATTCTTCCTTTCCAAAGTTTCAGCTACATCACCATGGCTCTTTGGATCCGTTCCCTACCTCTCCTGTTGCTGCTGGCTGTTTCAGCTCCTACAATTAGCCAAGCTGCTCCCAACCAGCGTCTATGTGGCTCTCATCTAGTGGAGGCCCTTTTCCTTATATGTGGAGAGCGGGGCTTCTACTATTCTCCCAGGTCCCGACGGAACATGGAACAACCATTAGGTAACTTCTTTCTAATTTCCTAAAATGCCCTGTCTGTAGTATGACCTGGTGAATTTGTTTATAACTCACCCCCTGGTAGACAGATGGTCTTAACTAGTAAGAAAAATAGATAAGGGTGCTTATATATCAAGGATTGCTTTTGAAAACATTAGTTCCCCCATCCAGTCAGAACACGAGAGGGCCTACTTTTTAGTAGCCCCCAGACAATGAAACAAGCTGTCTCCAGAGAAGCTCTGCTCCAACCCTCCCTACCTTCCAGGAAGCACTGAAATAATTTAGTTTCAATGAGATCTTGACTCATAGGGTGGCTGTTGGCAACCCTCTGGTTCACCATTATTGCTGCCTATTTCAGTTGGGTTATTTTAATGTCTTTTTCTTGTTGCGATCCTTTCTGAGTCTTGATTGATTGGGGCAATCTATAAATATGGTAAATAGGGAAATATACATCCAGAATCTGGCAAACACTGCTCATAGACAACTTTAATTACCCAGCAAAATAATTCAGGAGAGGAGGCTATGAAAGCAAACTTCCCAAATTAGTTCTTCAATGAGTAAAAAATGGCATTTGGCTTCTTTCTTTCTCTCAGCCTTTCCCCTTCTAGATGTATTGGGATACAACTCCCATAGACATGGTTGGGGATTGTGGTAGGACACTGCTGACCAATGCATTGAAATGGGTTTGAAGTTAGGAAATGCTATTCCCTCTGTTTTAGCCAGATTGATTCTTGATTATTCCATTGTTAAATGGAGAATGGAATAGAGTGATATCCAAGATGCATACATCTCCTAAGTGGCATTTTCCATTTTTTGTCAGTGAGGCATCCTCCTGTTCATGGTCGATTGTTGCCAACTTGACAGCAATTCTCCTGTTATTTTTGGTAGCCTGGAAATAATATAGTGCTACTATGGCAATAATAATGTAACTTAACTGTTTTCCTGAAAAGTCAGTAGACAGACCAAGAAGCATCCCTGAATCAAAAGTTCCACAAGGAGTTTGCCAAGTGCTGCCAAAACCAATGCATCCTGCTGGGGAAAAAATATGCATCATATTTCTCATTTCAAATGCAGAGAAGAAGCCTAGTTCCTTCTTTACACTTCTTTTTTATGCAAACCATCTTGACTTATTACTTGTAGGCACAACATGCTAAAAAGAAAGCAGACTGTCATGTAGCATGTAAGATGAGAAACACGTCGATTATTCAAGACCCTCATACTACTGTACATTTTTATTTGTTTGGAGATAGCAAGCTAGGACAGTGATGAATCTGGGAGTTTATCCGTGGCAGTGATGAATGGAAAATAACAGCCCCATCCAACCCTGGAGATATACTCAGTTTCCCGATCTGTAAAATACTAATCCATAGTCTTTCCACCTTGTTACTATTTAGCTTTGCTTTATTGTTGCTAGCTAATCTCAGTTGAAAGTGTGCAGTGTGGAACCAGGATCTAAAACACCCAGCTCAGTTTCAGTTAACTGACTCAGAATACAATAATCTAGTACCAGGACAATCTGATAGCCATAGCAGGGACAAGGCAGGTATATCCCACAAAAATTCCCCATACATTTATCACACAGGAGAATAGGGAAGTTCCTTTAACATTAACTTTTGTTCAGCTAGGAGAAGGATGAAACTGTCAAAAATAATCAATAATATTCAACCGAAACTCAGCCCAGTGGTGGGATTCAGCCAGTTTGCACCACTTCAGCAGAACCGGTAGCTATTTTTTTGTTGCCCAGACTCAGAATGGACTTCCAGAAGTGGCATCCACACAGAGAACTGGTTGTTCACATATTTGAATCCCACCACTGACTCAGCCCCAAATGCAGCTGTGGGTGGGAAAGGCAGAGACATTATAGCATCAGTTGGGGATGCCAAATGGAAACAGAAAGTCCAAATGAATATACCTTCTGTTGAAAACACTTCAAAGGTCCATCTAATGTTGGTCTTCTCTTATTTGGTAGTGAATGGTCCTTTATCGAATGAGGTGGAAGTACCACGCCAAGAATTTCAGAAAACCAAGAGAGGAATTGTGGAGCAATGCTGTGAAAACACCTGCTCTCTCTATGAGCTAGAGAACTATTGCAACTAGAAGAAAGAAACTGGTCCATGCAGGAATAGAGAAAAAAAAGCACTTTTGCTACTGCACCTTTTTAAGTCATTAAATAAAAAAACCCTATATGAATCTATTTAAACAGTTTTTGCAGTGTTTTGTCTATGTTGCATGCTCTCTTTATGTTTGATTTGTTTTTAAATTATTTATGGGTTCATATCTTTCTTTCATTGGATTTTAAAGTTCAGAAGAAGGTAGTGGTTGCCCAGCTGAGAGATTGCTTGCTGGCTTCCAACATAGATATGGAGTACTCCTGTCTGCAAGAATTTTTCTATTCATTTCAGTTAGTAGATTTGATCTTCCCTTTTATGGGGAATGAAAAAAAAAAAATCCTCACACCAGAAGTGTCTGGATCTCCAGATAAAGATATTTTTGATCCTCAATTTTCAAGAAGAGGGAAAGGGACCTTTTATGGGAAGTTATACTTGGTATTGTTTTAAAGTAACGAGATTTCTGCACAATGAATGTCTTCCAGGTTTCTATAAACTATTACTTTAAATGTTCCATCACAAGATGTCCGACAACACACACTCAGATCCCAAAGGTACCAATATCCCTTGCTGTCCTGGAAGCTAATAGTAACAGGAAACTAGATGGATTAACCATTTGCTCATTTACATGAAGGAGAACTTGCCTTTGTGTATAACCTGAGGTAACATTTCCAATGACAATTACTCAGATACATCTGGCCAATCTGGATGCTTAAAGTGATTAGACAAAGACAATACCAACAGCTGTCAGGCAGTTTTAGTTACATTCCTAGCATATTCCAAACACACAAATACCACAGGGATGAGTATGTTATTGATGTTAGGAAAGCAAAGTTTTAAAATTGGTCTGATGATGATCACATAAGAATATGTGGGGCAGCTGCAGTTTAATAACATTCTCAAAGCCACTAAATACCTTTCTAAGCATACTTGTCATTCACGTTGCTAATTTAATCCTGTTGGCCAAAATAATAAATATTTCAACCTCATAGTAGTTTTCAAAAGTCAATAAAGGCACAGGGGAGGACACCCTTTGCTTTCTAAAATGTATTTGGCAACCAAAAATTGGTTGGGGAACAAGGGAAGAAACCAAAAGCAAAGGTATAGTAGCATCAGTGTATCCATGTGTTCCTGATAAAATGGAATGATATATCATAGAATAACAAAAAGAAAGACAGGTTCATTACTCTGAGCATTCAGAATGATTTATGCACCAAAGAAAAAAGTGTAATTGTAATGTCTCTTGCTTTTTTTCTTTTTGGTGGATTGGGAGTTGAAGAGATCTAAAAAGATGGCAAGTTCTAAGAGTCAACATGGACATTCCTGTGTATCTCCATGTTGCAATTTAGTGTCTTCCAACAAAGCCTCAAGTGGTCCATGTATTGATTTTTAGCACATGCCTACATTCCTGTGATAATTGTTCATCTTTCAAACATACACCCAAGTAGAAAGCCAAGCTATCGGCCTCCCCCATTGCATTTTTGTCTTTTTGCGGTTGGCAATTGACTCCACTCTGTCTGGAGAAGGTAAGCTGAACCAGGGACACCCTTTTGGCTAGGAATAAAGACCAAAAAACAACAAAAAAGTCAATTCTTTGCAGTTCCAAGTCTTTGTTATTAATCTTGGTCCAGTAGAGTCACCTTCAGTCTTGACAAATTACATACCATTCATCCTAAGGCTACCTAAGCACTTGCATTTCTTTCATGTTTGGCTAATTCTGTATACGTAGATCTCTAAGCAATTAAAATTTTCTGTGTATTAGTACCAAAACATAAGGGGAAAATCATAATTTTAGCCTGATCTATTGATCTGGGTGTAATTACAAGAATTTTTTAAAAATATAATTGTTTTTGTCAAATATAAAGGATGTATATTTCAGAAATTTTTAAACTTAGCTGCATTTGTTCTCTTTTTCAGCCCTCTCCCCATCCTGTAATGAGGTACAAGAGAACAGTTTAGCATTCCAGGCAGGTATTAAGAGCCCAAAAGTTTATTTTACGTACTTCAGCTCAAACAATATTGATAACTTGGCACCAGTTACTTCTGACAGTGCTGGAATCTGAACTGCTTGAATAGCAATGAAAGTACTCTATTCATTTTACTGGTGTACAGAGCAAAGAGCCAAATGCATTGCAATGATGGGAGGAGGTAGTAAATGGTCACATGGATCTTTATCCTACTTGCATCTGCATTGCTTGGTTTTGGTTGCCAGACCTCACTGGGCACGTGCGCTTCATTCAGTTCCTTTACTGCTAAACCACTTGGAGATTTCAAACCTAAGGAAGCCAATAAGAAGTACTTTCCTCCAGAGGACACTGGGATTCTGTGAGAAAAAGCACTAAGTGGTACAGTGTATCAGTTAAAGGATGGGGGGGGGGAGTACTTCCTCTGAAACTGCTGAGTAGGTTTTGTCTCTGAAGAGAGAGGAAAGAAGTATAGATTAATCTGATGGAAATGGAAAGGATGAAATAGTTGTTGCCAGCTAGCATTCCCCCATTTAGGGAGAGATGCCAGGAAATATTTTGTTTTGTTCAGCTACTGTAAAGTTCATAGATTCCTTCCTGGGTAACGTGCCTTGTAAAATGGAATGCTCAAATACTTCATCTCAAAAGGAGACTCCTGGAATACAAGACGCCCACTGAATTATCTGGGCTTGATATCATGCAGAGCCACCAAAGGTTTCATTCAAAACGGTTGATGGGTATTTTGTTCCTTTTCAGTTTTCCCAGGTAGGGAGCTATATAAACGTTTTATGACATGACTGAGATGTCTGTCCCTCTCATGAAATATATCATGCATTGCACTATTTTCGAGAGCTCTGCAAAGTATTCATAAAGATGGTGGCAACACATTGAAGGACATACAAAGCATTTCTTTTCGTCCTTTTAAAGCAGCCGTGTCATTTGTAGGCCTCAAACAAGTGCTTAAGTAGCTACTCATGGTTCTCTCCACAAACTTTTTGTGCCTTTTGAGCACTATCAAATTAATTGCAAAATGATGGGGCTGTAACTTTGACTTGTGGAATGATCCAATGTTGAGCTACATGAGATGATGCAGATGCAAAAACAAACTATATGTACCAGGATAACCTGGAAATTGGACCAGGATAACCTGGAAAAAAGGAGTTAGGTTTTCTCTTTGCACTTTTAGTTGAAATCTATTTTAGGGCTTGCAGTACAGTTGTCATTGTTTCTTACCTATGAATGATTTGAAATTATGGCACTGATTTTCAACCTACTGCAATGATATATTCAGTCAGGAATTTATGATCCCATGAAGGGTATTAAGAGGCTGCAATAGATCTCTTTGCAACGAGTTGACGTGCCCTGCTTTAACTGCTTTAATCTGTAGATGTAGATATGGTCAAATAAAAACATGGAAGGAAAATGAATGGGTAGCAATCAGAATCCAGGTTTCTATTAGTTGTAAGATACACATGACTTTTAACATTACAACCTGCTTCACTGGGATTTAGAACATTAGATATTTATGATTGCCCTATGCTCCTGTTGTAAATACAGATGCTATACTGACTTAATTCTTTTAAGTACACTGAACAACAAGTGCTGCTACACAAATGAAGACAAGTTTGGCCCATGGTATTTGGGGTCTGAGACAAAGGATAAAACGACTTCTCCTATTCATTTTAGAACTGTTGAGTGATAATAGAATCCTGCTTAATGCTTCAGCAACTAAGCTGGCTATGCTGGACCAGCTGCAGCACATTCCAAATTCAATCCTGATCACTACAACTCATTAATATACCCTGGTTCCAGCAAACATTTCATTCTAGTAATAGGTCAACCTTATTCATGGAGATGCATGAATATATAAACTTCTGCTATTTATAATCTCTCCTAACTTATTACTTTACAGTCTCCATAATTTTCAGGCATTGTGACAAAAGAATTATGGGATTTGAAGACCAAAATAGCTGGAGACCAGCAGGTTAGAGAAGACTGATTAATGTTATATTTGCACTGAACTGGGGATAGGAAGCATGGCTTGCAAGTTACTCTTATTTATTTTTTTTGTAATATTACTATTTTGCTAGCTACAGGTTTCCCCCCCTCTGATACTCATTCTATAGTTGTTAAACTTATGCAAGCCCTAAAAGAAAAAAAAATGCTGGGGAATTTTGGGAGGGCTGACTTTCAGATAAATCAACAGGCACATAGAGATAAGTAATATTTATACCACTCAAAAGAAAAAAATGAAAAAGCTAAAAAGGAAACAAGAAGAGCATAACACTTCTTCACCAGCAATTAACACCTAGATAAATGGGTTAATACTAGACCAATGGTCAAGCAGAAAATAAGGAACTACCAACTCAGACAAATAGTAAACAATAGCCTAATTAAGAAAGCAATCAAAGATGTAACCATTGAAGATGTTACCTAGTTGGGTAATGAAACAGCTGCACTAAGTAAGCCCAGAAAGCTCAATCAGCCCATGTCTTCATTTTGCTTAGTTTTTCTCTCACATCCATAATATTTTTTCCATTTCATTTCATTTCAGGTTTCTTATCAGTTATAGATAAGCTATTAGTTCTTTATTAAGGCCCTACAACACTTCATATCTGATTCTAAAAAGATGCTTCCTTGTGAGCCAAGGTGTGAACATTGTATCTATTTGTGCTTCTTTAAATCAAGCACATCTTTTCTCAGGTTTGTGTGGTAGCTGAAGAGGGTGGTCATGTTATCCTAGGAAAAACATGGATGCTTTGATGAATTGCTGACAGATGCTATGTTTGTGCTCCAGCACTTTCTGAAACACTTCTTTGGAATCAAATCTGAAGTGCTGCTTTGCCCTGTTCTTTATATATAAACCTCTGATCTTGTAGCTTGGGTTTTCTTCTTGCCATAGCAGGTGGAAAAATATATCATGGTTTTATTTGTATGACATTCATTTACAGAAGAAATAGACAGACATATATGTGAAGAAAACTATCTTATAATGAAATGTCTGCAAGAAAACAACCAAGCTCAAAGAATATCGAAGAATCCACATACAAAATATTGAATTTGATGTATTACTTCTTACATTTCTCAAAATTAGAGCCTATTTTTACTCATGTCTGAATTTA